TGTGTGTGTGTGTGTGTGTGTGTGTGTGTGTGTGTGTGTGTGTTTTGTGTATTTGGATTTGCCTCAACACTTTTTTCCAGAAGCTACATTAGTCGAGTAAGAACCAGCTGTGGATTAAATGCTCCACAAGTAGCTCCCAAGATAAACACCTTTAAAGCTGCAGCAGGAAGTTTTGAGAAGACCGTGCCCTTTAACCTGAAAATGTGAACAAACACACCTTACAGTCCCTCCTCCTGCCTCCACAGCTCCGCCCACACAGCAGAGCCTTCCATTAACGCTCAGGTCTAGCAGCATGGTCACCGATGATGATGATGATGAAGACACAGCTATGGCTCATTGAAAACTCTCAGATTGTGGCAGTTCTTCTGTAGCCTGGTTTAAACCAGACCCTGTCCTTCACTTTGCTTCGTACAAGGGTCTGGACTTGATGCATTGACAAGTGATTCTTGCAGGAGGCGTGGCCTCTGCTGAAGTTTAAAATGATTGGATCAGTTGGCTGCAACGTATGTCGCTGTGACGGAGGCTAAGCTAAGAAGCTAACCGGAAATCTCGCGTGCTGTAAACAACCCTACTGAGAGAGGAAAAGTACCGAGCCAAACGAGACGACTGTAAATGAGAGCTGCTGCTTTGTCAGACAAATTTAATTTAATTTAGAAGCCTTATCAACACAGACTGGCTTCATTCACTTCCTCCACTGCCGTACGCTAAAATAACTAGCAGACACTGCGCAGAAAGTCAAAGTCGTTCAAAACAAAGGTTCAAAACTCTTCCTTCTGTTTGCTGATTGGTCCAGGTAAAATAAACTACAAGCAGACAGTGTGCAGAAAATTGACGTTCTGTTCTCTGATTGGCCCGGCTAAAAATCTGCCAGTGAAATCCATCTCAATGGTAGCAGTCCCAGACGGAGCAGAGAAGGGAAACTAGAATTGAGCGGAGCTGCGTAGGAAGGCAAGGGCCAGGCTAGTTCTTCTGTAACTTTAGGTCATTTCTCCGCCCTCAGTACAGCTGCAGCAAACTGGCAGTCCTGAGCTTAAATGAAGGGTGCGTGCCACGCGGGGGAAGCAGCACGCACACAAATATGACTGACAGTGATAAGACAACTCCCCTGGCTCTGATTGGTTGTTTCTGACCAGGAGCAGTGTGTTCCTGTGAATGGCTGTAGGACCAGTGAGAGGAACCAGAGATTTATTTTTTCAGTTTATCTGTCTCATATTAAACTGTCAGGACATAGTGACAGTTTTTACAAATATAAAAAGTAGAGTTTTTATTTTAACATCACCAAGCACCAGTATGGAGAGCAAGGAACTCTCCACACAGGTCAAAGTTCTGGTATAGGGATGGGTCATAAAAATATCCCAAACCCTGAAGATCTCACAGAGTTCCACTGAATCCACCAAGGTTCAGGTCAGAATACTGTTTTTAGAGATATCTTCTAGAGATCTGAGACTGTAACAGCAGTACCAACAACCTAAAGGAGCTGCAGATGTTTGGTCCTGAAGAACAGAATAAAGATGGACAAAGACCAGTTAGACCAGTTAGAGACCTGATGCTGGAAAAATAGTCCACAAACGATCAACATTGTTTCTTCCTTGTTGCAATTGTTTATTTACTCTGAACTCACATCTCTGGAGGTCACGTGAGATTTTTCCTCAGACATATGAATTCTCGCGAGATTTCAGGAAGTCTCACGTGATTTTATATCTGACATCTGAATCATGAATGAAATATATTTTGGTGTGTGGTGTGTTGTTTCTTGCTGTGTGGCTGTACACCACACACTGTAGGACCAAACCTGGTAGATCCAGGATTTTTTCTCCTCACGTGTGGCTCTATCAGTCTTTGAAAATCAGCCGACTGTTCTAAAATCTTGTAGTATGACTCAACCTTAAGAGAAAGACTGACCCATTTATTATTAACCAATGGATTACATAATTTAACTTAAACATAAGAATATTGCACAATTAAATACAATAAATAAATAGTAAAATAGAAAACCCTGAAAATTTGCCTCAATAAATCCAATAAAAACAAAATATACTTTTACATTGCAAAATAACTGTTCAAGTTCACTTTGGTTATTTATTCTGGATCCAAGCCCTGCTGGATAGAAATCCTGAGTGGACCGCTTGTATCAGAGATTTTAGATGCAGGTTGATATAATCTGATAGTCATTTTTACCCGATATCGATATCAGATCGGGACACTCCTAAGCAAAGTACATTTACTTTGTTACAGTACTTAAGTAACTTTTTTGTGGACCTGTAATTTTACTAAGTATAATTTTAATTTGTAACTTTTACTTTTATTTTATTACATTCAAAACATACTGTAGAAATTATATTTTTACTTCTTTACTTAAAAATTTAACACCTCAGCTTGTTCCATGATACAAATTTAAATATGACCAAACTCATCATGTAAGGATGTCAAGTATGGCTGGGTAAAAAAAATCGATTTAATCGATCTTGGATCAATTTCATTTAAATTAGAAAAATCAATTCACAGGACATTAGATTGATTCTTCCCCATGGTGTCTTGTGTGCGCGTCTGAAACATGTTTCTATATTTTGTCACTCCTGGCTTGCCGTACGTTTACATTCAGTTGACGTTCAGCGCTAACATTAGCTTTTACAAGTTGTCTGGAGCAAAACAAAAGAAAAAACTAAGGGATCACTAATGTTACCGGCCGAGTCTCTGCCGAACATAAAGACAACAGAGACCACGGCAACTTTTCTTTGCAAAGACTTGAGCGCCAACAAGGTAGCGAAAACGAAGCGGGCTTTCACGACCAGCTCATTCAGGCGCTCGAACCAAACTACTGTATGTAAACATGGTAAATGATAAATGGACTGTACTTATACATCGCTTTATACTACAATCTGTGCCCTCATTTACCCATTCACACAGCACTCTGTTGGGTGATGAATATGAATTTCTCGTTAAAAGGACTCACATAATCTTGTCAAGGTAACTTTCAGTTTAATCATCAGTTGCTGTTAAAAAAAATCTCTAAAATGAATAAATAAATAAAACCTGGCCTTTTTTTAAATCACAGAATGAGTCCTTATCAGTCCTTTTCCAACTTTTCTCATGTTGTCTTTAGCCTCACTATTTATCAGTTAGCCACCAAACAGTGTCTTCACATTGTGTGTATTTATAATTATTTTATTGCTGATACAAGAACCAAATATTTCAGTTGTTTAAAATAATCTGTTCCCCCTCTGTAACATGGGAACAATATAATTTACCTCCAAGTCTTTAACTGTGTTAATTACTCTCATCATAAACAACAAATCCTGAAGATTTGGGAAAATTTGCTCTTTATTGGCCAAAGTTACCTGGATGGAACCAAATATTATTTAGGCTTGTAAGCTACAGTTTGCACAGTTTCAATTAAAGAAAACTAATTTTCTCACCGCACCTTTGATTAATTTTGTCCAGCTGTAGACTAGGTTTCTGTCCAATCAGAGCAAGTATTGTGTTGTTGGTGCTTTTAATCAGTTTTCAGTTCAATTAATTCAATCTAAGTCTATGGAACAGTCACAAAATGTCACCAAAATCGCTCTGTCCCTCTAAAATCATTTAGAAAATCGAATCGTATTGTTCGCTGAATATCGTGATATATATCATATCGTGAGCAGAATATCGTATCGTATTGTATCGTGAGATTAGTGTATTGCTACAGCCCTAATTTCATGATTTAAAAGGAGATCGAATCGAATTGATTAATTTCTTTGAGTGTGTAAAAGTATATATAAATGTACTTTCACACCAGGTAGACATGTATTAATGTTTGAAATGACTAATACACGTTGAAATGCACGTTGGGCGCATTTTTGCTGCTCAAAACGCATTCGGTGTGAACGTAGCTTGAGTGAGCCTCACGTCTCTTGGAGTGAAACTCGTTGAACAGACCTCCTCTGAATTATCTGGTGGATTAATTATCTGGTGAGCACGACGTTCGCTTGCTCAAAGTAAATAAAGTACCGCCACTTTCTTTATTTCATCCACCATTAAACAGAGACCGGCAGAGGAAAACAACAGAGGTGCTTCCCGACAGTCCGAACACGTCTGACCTGAAAGAGCACAAGCAGCTAACTTGAAGCGTTGGTGCGTTTTGGTTCTGAACATAGCTTGAATACCTTTTATATATTTAACTCCTTCCTCTTTTGCTTATTTGATTTAAACTTATTTGCCTTCCATGGACCTCCATCACACATTTTTCTAGTGAGGAAATGACATCAATAGAAACACGTGGAGCTGGATTTTAATTTGTGCAACAAGACAAAACACTGTTAGTTGTTTTCAAGAGTTTGCACATTAAAGAAAGTTGTTAAACAACTGATGTTACAATACAAAGAGTTGGATGTTGTCTTGATATTTGTTAATTTTATATATTGAGAAACAAATAAGTAAAATTTTAAAAATTAAGTTTTTTATTAAAATAACTATACACACAAAGTACCAAAAATTGGTACTGTTGAGTACTGATTCCCAGGTACTGGATATTAGTACTGAATCGATTCAAATGACCAAAGATATTCATCCCTAGTTTTAACTTTAGAAAAGTTCACAAAACTACTGACTGCCCTAATTATTGATGCAATGCAGGATTAGAAGATAATCAATTTAAGAATTGTCTAACTATTACATGTAGGACACACGGTGTTTAAGTACAATTTTGAGTAGTTACATACAAGTACACACTAAATAGAATAGTTAATTCATGAGTTATTAAGCATGAATAAACAATAAGTATGTTGGTTTTGAAAGTAATAAGCCTTTAATAAATGTGTTAATAGTTTATTAAGTATGAATAATCCTTAATAAATGATATTTTCAAGGCTAACTAACCATTTATTAACAGCTAACGTAGGCTAAATAAGGTGGAGTTAACAGATTGGTTTATAAACTCGTAGGACGGAGCTGCGCTGTAACTGAAACAGGATTTAAGGACCAGGATGATGAACAGACATGACTCCTGACAGTTTCACCACATTTATAAAACAATGAACACAACGTATGGCTTCATATGCAGTTAACAGTCATGTTTGTTTCTGGTAACTAACATTACGAGGCAAAACAAATGGCGTCACCAGTCAATAAATCCAGTCCATTAGGAAATAACCTTGTGAAAAGTCAACCTTTTATTTTATTTTTTTTTCCCCGCCTTAATGCTCGTTTGAACTGAATGCTTCGTTTTCATAACAAATGGCTTTCCCAGAAATTGATTATTTCAACTGGAGGGAAAATAATGCATAACTCATCTCACGTCTGCCGAGCCACCGGGCAATTTATCCCCAAACGATGAGCGCAGGAGTCAGCATTAGGTGTCGTAAATCACCGGCAACACGTTGATGCACTGCCTGACAAATATGATAATTTGGGCCTCCTGAAGGTACGGGCCTGCCTCGCTGGCCCTGACATATGACTCTATGGATGCCAGGACATTCACAGCCGGCCGTTGTAGGGAGGAGGAAAAAAAAAAACGGGAGCTGCCAGAGATGGTTTCCATGGTAACTACCATTTCCATTGACTGACTTTGCGCTCACGTAGCGAAGACAAATTGCACCGGCCGGGTGTGGGGGAGGTCTGTCAGGCTGTTAGCCCTGGGGTCAAATTCATGTTGTTTTATTTTCTCACAATTCCTACAGGGGGTATCAACTGAAAACCTTAATTTCTGCCTGTAACGTGCTCCTGGGTCCATATTATAAAAGACACATGCTTTCAGCTGCCAGGCCTTCTATCAGGAGGGCGAGTAAAGCCTACCTATTAGTCCTCATGCATCATGGGAGCTAACAGGTAAAACGCTGTCGCCTGAAGTCTTAAAAGCTGCTCATAATGTTGGTAAAACACATCATTTATGCACTTTTTAAAGGTTTCACGTGGTCCACGCACTGGAACCGTAGGTTTGGTCTGCACAATGTCACATTGTGTGCTTCTGCTTTATTGTATCCAAGAATGTAAACATCCACTGCAACACAAAGCTATAAAACAGCAGGAGGTGTGCTGTTCAAGGCAGATCGGGCTCTATTAACAAGCAAATGGAACAAATGCTGCTGGAGAAACAAAAATAAAACGAAGCTAACTGAACACACAGGCACACTAACTCACCCCGCTCTCTGGAAACGTGGTCCAAGCCAGCTCTGTGGTGGCCCACCGACTGTCCATGAGGGTTTCTGCAAATGAAGAGCAGGAGGGAGGGGCTTGAGTTACATGGGGTGAGGAGAAAAACTGTTGCACAACATCAAAAGACCACACACACAAGCTCCCTGTAAGACAAAGGAAGAAGGTAAGACACCCTCTTCATCATAACCTCCGCCCACGAGCGCTGGGTTTTTTTTATTTTTTATTTTTGAAAGCACCGACAATCAGAGCGTTTCTGTGATGCTGCCTAATTAGGCATCTGTGTCTGTGCGTTTGTGAGCCTGGCACTCACAAATCCTTCAGTATTCATCTGTGGAACCACAAAGAATCCTCCTAGATGCCTACAGAGTAAAAGCTTCCATTAAATGAATAGTTCAGCTATTGTAACGAGTTTTTTAAGGAGAAAGTTTGAACAATTACCATCTTATCTGTTGTACATAGTTTTAACGGACTGAAGACTACTAACCTGATGGTCCAAACAGCTAAAACCAATTTAAAACAACTCTAATCTTAAATATTTCATAGCAGTTCATTGAAATGCTATTCTGTAATCTTTACACTGCAACTAGTTTTAGATCATGCAGGATTCATGGTTAATTATAAAAATAAAAATGTGATTCAAAACTGAAAACAGTTAAAGTTTTATAAAATAGTTTGCAGGAACCACAGTAAAACTTTAAAGATTGTTTTTTTAAGATGGCAAAATTCACTTTGGCATTGTTTATTTACAAAACCATGGAGTACCCATCCATCCATCCATCCATCCATCCATCCATCCATCCATCTATCCATCCATACATCCATTTATTCATCTATCCATCCATCCATCCATCCATCCATCTATCCATCCGTACATCCATCCATCCATACATCCATTTATTCATCCATCCATCCATCCATCCATCCATCCATCCATCCATCTGTCCATCCATTTATTCATCCATCCATCCATCCATCCATCTATCAATCCATTTATTCATCCATCCATCCATTTATTCATCCATCCATCCATCTATCCATCCATCCATCCATCCATCCATCTATCCATCCGTACATCCATCCATCCATACATCCATTTATTCATCCATCCATCCATCCATCCATCCATCCATCCATCCATCTGTCCATCCATTTATTCATCCATCCATCCATCCATCCATCTATCAATCCATTTATTCATCCATCCATCCATTTATTCATCCATCCATCCATCTATCCATCCATCCATCCATCCATCCATCTATCCATTCATTTATTCATTCATCAATCCATCCATCCATTTATTTATTCATCCATCCATCCATTCATCAATCCATCCATCCATTTATTTATTCATCCATCCATCCATTTATCCATCCATCCATCCATCCATCCATCCATCCATTCATCCATCCAAGCAGCTAGCCAAACAGCCAGCCTGCCATCTATCTATCTATCTATCTATCTATCTATCTATCTATCTAT